AGACAGACAGACAGACAGACAGACAGACAGACAGACAGAGATGGGGAAGGGAAAGAACAAAGAGGAGAGGAAGCTCTTAAATTAGGCTGGCCTGTGACTGTTTGCACCAGTTGAGAACAGGCCTCTGGCCTCTAAGCTGAGTAGCAGGTTTCACACTGGAGTCTGAGGCTGCTGGAGTGAAATACTGACAACCCTGAGACCATTCAGAGAGTGAGATGTGCTTCGCTGAGCTCAGACTGGGCTGTCCCTGTCAAGGTGCCAGATGTGTGAGTCTTGAACCTACGAGACAAGCTCAGCATCGACTGAAATCCACCAGTGACCCCAGTTGAAGTGACAAGTTGCAGAAGAATCCTCATATTTCTGATCCACAACAGTGAACTATGATAAAAGAGTTGTTTAAAGCTGCTATATTTGGGGGTAGTTGTCAAAGAGTATCGGGGAAGCCAAAATTAACCAGCCTCCTGATCTCAGTGATAAAGTAAGACAGACACAACTGCAATCCCGGGGGCAGAGCCCAGAGGGTGAGGTCCCAAGCTGCCCTGGCCTATGTCTGATTTTGTCCAGTCTCCAGGCCCTTTCTTTTGGATCAGCCCCTTTTTCAGTGTCCTCATTGTTGTTGTACAGCAAAAGAAAATGGTAACTCCAGGAGAAGTCCAAGTCTCAGTAACAATGAGGCTTTTGCAGAAAATCATTTTCATGCTCTTTAAATTGGGATAATCCTTTGAGACTGCCATAGAGCCCACGGAGCACATTCTCGAAATGAGGGTTGTGGAGCTGACATCCGCGTTGGAGTGTAAGGCACATAAGACAAAACAGCCTTAGTAATGGATCTTTGCAACTTTTCCAGGTGTCTAATTACACATACTCTGAAATAGCTGTTAAGAGAGTTTTATCTTTTTACAGCCTCCTTCCCAGACATCTTTTAACTACGACTTGGATCTGGACCCAGGCCTTTTTATGGTCTGACCCTGTCATCCTCTACTTTAAAAACAACTGTTCACTTCACAGAGAACAGCACTGAATCCCTTCCCCAGCCCTGCTCCCTCCCTCAGACTCAAAGTGACACAAAACTCTTCCTTAGGGGATGCAGGAAAACCTATTTTAGTTGGCAATGGCTGATGACTCACAGTTTGTTGGGAAATATTCATTCATTTTTAAAGCATACTGCCTTGGTATTGAAAAGGTTACTTTACTGATGAAGCTGGTTATGGGTGAAAATTTGTTCATAAATTTATTCATTTATTTTTAAAAATTCCTGCTTTATCTTTTTCATAAGATACAAAGGATATAAAATTAAAGCTAAGTAAAAAGTTAAATTTGAGGAAGAATTAGAAGAAGGTAGACTGAGACAAACTATCTTTGAACAATGAAAGCTTTTTCTTTTTCTTTTTTTTGTGGTACTGGGGATTGAACCCAGGTCCTTGAGCTTGCCAGGGAAGTATTTATTCTACTGAGCCATCTCTCTGGCCCTGAAAGCTTTTTCTATCTGCTTTCTCTTATTGTCTTGTTCCTTTAACTCAGACTAAAATTAGATAGTAAGAAAACTACAGCTTTTCTTTGATTTTACAGCACTCTGCAATCGCTGAGTGATTAGTGGTGTAGTAAGTTCTGTAAAGCTTAGATGTGTAGTTGTTCTCATTATTTTCTTTCAAAATACCTTTGAAAGGAGACAAAATTATATTGTTTAAAATATATAAAATAGGGGCCGGGGAGATGGCTCAGTGGAATAAGCACTTCCCTGGCAAGCGCAAGGGTCTGAGTTCAATCCCCAGTTCTGCAAAAAAAAGAAAAAAATATATATATAAAATCATGAGAACTCAAGATTTTCTGGGTCATAATTTTACTCAGCTCACACAGTGAAAGTTGGGGCTCCAAAGTATAAATTGTTTTGCAACAGGCTTCAATTTCCCTCCTTTTGCTGATTGTTTTTTTTTTTTTTAAAGCAAGTGTGTGTGTGTGTGTGTGTGTGTGTGTGTGTGTGTATGTTGGTCGGGTATACTACAATCAAAGGAGACTCAGAGCAAATGGTATGTTCAGGAATTGTAAATTATTTGTCCTCAAGTGTAAAATCTTCTGAAATAGAAATGTCAAGTAGATGCTCTACATATAGGTTTTGAAGCTTAGTGTCAATATCCAATGAAATGTAGAAAGGGTACAGCACTGATCTAGACAACAAAGAAGGGAGGTCTTATTAGCAGGAGAAAGCCTCCTGCACTGAGAGTGATCACTGTGGGAGTAGATTCCTATGGTGCATCTGCTTGGTCTGAAATCATACCAGCTATAGGGCTGCACCCTGCCTCAAATAGCTGATGAAGGCCTGGGTTCAACCCCCAACAGCATATTATAGGCAAAGGTCAGCAAATGCGGGAAGCGATTTTAAACCACCTAGGCCAGGTTTTAATGGTTTAAACTGTTAAACTGTTCTGGGTGCCAACTCTTGCTCTTCTTTTTGAGGATGATGTTTTTCTAAACCCAAATGGCAAACAAAGGGAAGGCACTACCTTACCTGTCGACGCTAAGAGCACAGAGATTGAGCACCGTGATCCCCACGGAGGACTTCTGCAGGAAGGGGAACAGCTTGCATAGAAACACGCCAAATTCGTTGTGGTCGAATGGCCAGCGTCCAGCCAACAGCTGACAAAGAAGACATGGTAAAAAGAAATGTCAAAGCTAGCTGGGAACACAGGGGCACTTACATTTCTAGTTACACATCCCAATTTCTTTTTTTTTTTCTTTATTTACTGAATACAGGGTCTCACTATGCACTTCAGACTCATAGTGGTCCTTCTGTCCCAGCGCTGGGATTACAGGTGTGTACCACCATGCCCGGCTTCAGGGTGCTCCTGGGGTTCCAGGGGCTGGCACGGCACATGCAATATTGGGGATCGAACTCGGGTCTTTGCACTTTGCAGGCAGGCACTTAGGCCACTGAGCTAACTCCCCAGCCCCACACATCCCAATTTCTGAATGCTACATTCATTGTGCTTTACAACTAGCACAATAGGGGTAGAGTACTGCTCACATTATTTTTTTAATCTCATGTTTCTTAGGCCCAATAACTTTGGTTCCAGAAAGATATGGGGAATATAATGCTACATATTACAATTATTTACACATTCCTATTATAACATACTATATTTAATAGATAATATATCTTATACAAATATATTATAAAGTATATATTGTACATTAAATGTGTTATATATTTTACATCAAATATGTAATACAAAAAAGAGTTTGCTCTCATATAAAATTACCATATTGTCTTCCTTTTTTGTTTGTTTTTGAGACAGAGCCCTGCTGTGTAGTGCAGGCTGGCCTAGATGGCCTTGAATTCACAGCAGTTCTCCTGCCTCAGCCTCACATGTGCTGGGATTACAGGTGTGCACCACCATGCCCAGCTGCTTACTTTTTAATGAGTAGCTGAAATTTGGGATTTGGGGTAACAGTTTAACTAAAGAGTAGTCTCTTATCAAATCTTGCCACACCATGAATAAAGCAAGTCATTTTAGCTAGTGGCGTTGGAAAATTATACTATCTCCTGATAAGTAATCAGAAACTGCAAGTGGGCGATTATGGAGAACACTGGCAAACTGAAGTGACTGTGGGGTCCTAGTTTCACCAGCAGGTTAGCTCCCAAACTTAACTTCTCCTCTGTGTTTCAGGGGCTGACTCTGCCTCCGTGCGTGTGATGTGTATGGCTTGTCTTTATGTGGGTTTAAATTTTTCCTTATTGCACAGAAAAATAAAGTCATGTCACATGTTTACATGGAAAATCTATTTTCATATGGACACTTTAAAATCCGGGCCTCAAGGCAAAGGGGGAGTGGGCACTGTGTAGTGGCCGTGGTATTAGGATTATAGCAGTGAGCTAGCGTCTTTTGTGACTCAAGGATATTTATCTGTTTCTGCATTATACCAGGAACATGGGCTTAAATAATTTCTCTACTGGGGGAGTGATGTCTCTGCTGAATATATGGTACCTTCTGAAGAGTAAGAGTGGTGTTGTTTTCCTTGCTAAGTTTTGCTTTGTAATTTGCCATGTAAGCTTTCTGTATTGAATGGGCAACAGTGTCCTATTGATAACTTAGCAGGTTTGACCTTTCTTTTTCTTTCTTTCTCTCTTTTTTCTTTCTTTCTTTTCTTCTCCTCCCCCTCCTCCCCTTTCCCTTCCTTCTCCCTACCTCTTCCTTGCCTTCTCTTTCTTCTTTTCTTTGCCAAGCACTTCTTACCATAGTAACTATCAGTTGAGATTTTAATTCTGTTCTACTACTTCTGCAAGATTATGTGAGGTTTAATTTCATTGTCATTGTGGTTGTTAACATGATCTTATTGAGAAAGGCTGGGAAACCTGGTCCCCAAACACAAAAAATCAGAATCTTAAGCATTTTTGGAATTTAGCAACATAATATTTGACAGCTTTATTATTATTGCTAAGGCCATATATGATTTCATGTCAAAAGTTGCCCCTCTTTAGCTTTCAAATGTATTTCCATTATTCTGAAAACTTATCTGAAGGAACCATCTTCTCTAATCCAGTCTCGCCTTTGTTCTCTGTCATCTCATTATAACCAGCCTAGGTCAGGGTCTTCTCAGAATTTTGACATACATTTAGAGATTTAAGGAAGTTAACAAAAATAATTATACCATTGGTGAACACTGGTTGTCCATGCCCGATGCAAGCAAAGACACAGAGAGTTCTTTCTGAGACAAATTACCACTGTGAAAACAAGAAAATCTGAACATGACATTTTATAGAATAAGAGTTTAGTATTTTGGCTTAGAATTATAATTCTCCAACAACAGAGTTGTAATGATATTATGTGGGGATTGTTATGGAGTATGCTTTGGGATAGTTGAACTGTTATTGTTGTCTCATCCTCAGAAACTAAGGATTCTGAAATACATACAGATAAATTTTCCACTTCACACATCTAACAAAGACAGGAAAGAAAAGGATGCTTCTTATTCAATAAGGGAGATTCTGAAATCCTTCGATGGTCTAAGTTATAAATGCTCATAAAATGTCCCCAAGAAAAACCTGCACTGACCATGGGATTCTACCAATTTCAATTAAATTTCTTCCTTTTTTATGCTTCCTTGAACTTTTAACTAGTTAGGTCAGGATTAGGTTTGAAAGAAAAGGTGTCATAGAATTGAGGGCAAAATAGGTATGGTTGTGATGTCATATTTTCTTTTTCCCAGGAGTGAGCATTGGTTCGCCCTGGGAATTGTAGGCAAAGGCATATGAAATAACTCACTGGAGGGAGTTTTAAGGTATGATCACTTCATTATCTTCCATCTACTCCATTCTGAAAGGATGCACGGACAGTCATTGCTCCCATGCTGCCTGGATAATGTTAAGCTCTTTTTTCTTCTGCTTCTCTAGTTAAAAGTAATTTATTTAAAAAGTCTTTGTTTTGAATCATGAATCTCCCCCAGAAGCCCCCATCTTGAAACCTTGGTGCAGCTGCAAGGTAGTAGAACCGGAAAGGAAGGGCCCTAGAGCAAGGCAGTGAGGTCACTGTGCGCATGCGCTTGGACGGGGCCCTGGGAAACAGTCCCCTCCCCCACCTCGTTTGCTTCCTGCTCCTTGTGCGGTTCCTTCCGCCATGCACTACCACCAGAACACGCATCTTTGTCGAAACCAGAGGGGACCAATGACTGTCGCCTGGAAGCTCCACAACTGGGCGATAAAATACAGCCTTCTTCTTTTTGTATTGATTTTCTCAGGCATTTTATAACATTTTCTCATTAATTATCCGATCTTAAGCAGGACACACTTGTTTAATCTTTTTCATGGAACCTGTGTTGGAACAATCTTATCTTTGAAGTTTCTTTTTAGCCAAATTTGTTGTAGCAATAAACAAAAACAAAAGAAGGGAGCCATGTGGAGACAAATGTAGCGCATCTGTTTTTCTCTTATTTACAAAAGACATTTTGGAGCTCTGGAAAGACTTCTCGATTACTTACGAGGACTAAAATTGAAAATACAATACTAAAATAGTAAAAATAATTCTTCATAGAATTTATTTATTTATTTTAGACGGGGTCTTGCTATGTTCTTCAGGTTGGCCTTGAACTCGCCATGTATCCCAGGCTAGCCTCAAAATCACAGTGATCCTCCTGCATCAGCCTCCCGAGTGCTGGGATTAGGGGTGTGTGCCACCATACCTGGCTTGTATAACAGGCAGGCACTTATGCCCCTGAGCTATCTCCCTGGCATCTGGCTTACGTAACAAAAATAAGTCTCTTTCCTAAGGTCTTAAACTCCTTTGTTTGCCTAAAGGCAAACATTTAATTGCTAAGCATTTTCTTTCATAAAAATATATAAAAATGTAGGCTTTTAAAAATGATTATAGGGCCGGGGAGATGGCTCAGTGGAATAAGCGCTTCCCTGGCAAGCGCAAAGGCCTGAGTTCAATCCCTGGTTCCACCAAAAAAAAAAAAAAAAAAAAAAATTATAAATACATAGCATAACTTTTTTTAAAAAAGTCTATTCTGATCTCTGTTTCCTGGGGTAATTTTGTGGAAACTAAGAGGTTTTGACCTTTGAGAGTACATTGATGAGCTACTGTAGACTAGGTCAGGAATAAGTGACAATCTGCATCACTGTAACATATCTGGGAGACTTCACAAATAGTAACAACTTCCTACCAATTCAATGAAACAGAAGCCAACTTGTAGGACAAACTGACACATCAAATTGGCTTCAAAGGGTTATTCTGGAGACTTAGAAGAGCTGGAGCTTATTTTAGCCATAAACGGGGCCATATTCTGTGACCTTTATATTTAAAGGTCTTTCTAAAATCATCATATAGGGTTTGAATAAATAAATGAATCCACCTAACAGATGAATCAGAGACTCCACGTCATTAACTTAAAACATTTTCTATCTTCAAGTTAGTATCATTTTGACCTATCTTGTAATTTATTTTCTATTTCAAAGTTGTTTACCAGTGTCCTGAAGTAGTATTTCTGCTATTTGTGTTTAAAGAAACAATGTCCACACCATGTACTTTCTAGAGGAAGTGGCACTTTAGCTTGAAGCATGAATGCCACAAACTCTTTGCTTAGGGATCTCCTGGGGGGGGTGCAGGGGGGGGGACTCTGAGAGACGCTGCTCATTCTATGGTCTCGATGTAGATAGTGCCCAGGAGACCCAGATGAGCACCAGGGAAGGAATTGCTGAGACAACAGAGGGCAGTCTGCTGAGTGTGTGTGTGTGTGTGTGTGTGTGTGTGTGTCAGTGTGTATGCATGTGTGTGTTTGTGTGTGTGTGCATGCGTGTATGCGTGTGTATGTGTGGTACTGGGAATTGAACCCAGGCCTTGTCCATACTAGGCAAGTGCTCTACCACTGAGCTACCTTCCATAGCCTTTCTTCAGTGTATTTTTAAATTTTGAAATGGTATTTCTAAGGTCCCCAGGATGACTTCAAACTTGGGATCCTTCTGTCTCAGCTTCCTGAATACCTGGGATTACAGGGGTGTTCTATCATGTTTGGCAAGCATGGTTTTACTGAAGAATACTTGCCTTTACTCTATCCATGTGGATTTTTCTTTAGGTGAAATGTAGTTAAGAACCCTGATAACCAAGTGAAAGCTGAAGCAACTCTAAGATAGCACCAATAAG